TTTTGAAAGGATGGAGTAGTTAATTGAAGAATTAATAAAGCAGAATGAAGCTTTAATGGTCGCATTGCAAGATAAATCGGAACGTAAACAAGACAAAATTTCTGTTTCTTTTGATAAGTTCGATGAAACGGTAGAAAATTTTGTTTCATTCATAGAACGATTTGAGGCTTTTTTGGACATTCAAAATGTTTCAGAGGTAAAACGTGGGAAAGTTCTGATTCCAAGCTTGAAAGCGAAATTGTATAATTTGTTGAAAAATTTACTCTCTCTTGGATAATCCTTCAGATAAAAATTTTACCGAACTAAAAAAGGTTCTTAAGGACCATTTAAATCTTAAAGCTTTAATAATACCTAGTCGGCACATGTTTATTAATCGAAAACAGCATGAGGGGGAATCAATTAGTAGTTATGTCACTGAATTACGCTCGTTAGCGATTCCTTGTGAATATAAAGAGGATATGCTAAATACCATGTTAAGGGATGTTTTCGTTAGCGGTCTACGAGATCGTAATATCTTAGATCGATTATTTCAGGAAGATGATATCGATTTAGAGAAAACATTAAAGATAGCCTTGGCGATGGAAAAGGCGGTTAAGGGTGCAAATGAGATTATAGGAAATTCCGTAGAACTGAAGGTACTTAAAACCAAGAAAAATGAGTCCAAACCGCGGAAACAAAACTTTGTTGCTAAGAATAATAAAGGTAAAAATGAAACTTGCTCGCATTGCTTAGGAGCAAATCACAATAAAAACAACTGTAGATTTGCAACAAGTGAATGCCGCTTTTGTAAAAAAATTGGACATATCGAAAAGGGTGTGTATTTGTCTAGGAAAAACCGACAGGTTAAACAAAAGAAAGTTGAGGCAAATAATGATTATGATTCGAAAAATGAGGTCCCCATCTATGGATTTAACTCCAGAACGCACATGTTAAAAGAGAGGAAGAGCCGAAAAGACCGCCAATAATGGTTCAAGTTAAAATTGAAAACAAACCAGTTAGCATGGAACTTGATACTGGGGGAACAGTTTCGGTAATGTCTATAAATAAATTTAGAAAAATTTCCAATAAAAAGATTCAGCCTACAAATTTAGTTTTTAAAACTTACAGGGGTGATAAGGTGGTACCTTTAGGATATGTTCCTGTTAAAGTTGAATACCAAGGTCAAAAATTAGTTTTAAATTTATACATTGTGAAGGAAAATTTGGACACAATCTTCGGCCGAGAATGGCTGTATAAAATCAATCTCGATTGGAATGCCATCAAAACATTGAAAACTTCTAGTGAATTGAATTTAAAAAAATTGCTTGAGGAGTATAAGGAAATTTTTGATGGTAAATTAGGTGAAATTAACAATCACGAAGTAAAACTAAATTTGAAACCTAATACTCAACCAATATTTTGTAGGTCACGACCGGTACCTTTCGCATTAAAAAATAGAGTTGAATCAGAAATTGATCGGCTTGAGAAAGAAGGTATCATTGAGAGGGTTGAGACTTCAGAATGGGCAACACCAGTTGTGCCAATTGTTAAATCTGATGGTTCCATTAGGCTTTGTGCTGATTATTCTGTGACTCTGAATCCTAATTTGGAAGTGCCACAGCATCCATTACCAAAACTCGAAGAAATATTTTCATGCCTTAATGGAGGTAAAAATTTCTCGAAACTTGATTTCAGTCATGCTTATCTACAAATGAAGGTGCATCCGGAGAGCCAACGATTATTAACAATAAACACGCATAAGGGGTTGTATATTTGTAAACGCTTAATGTATGGATTAAATGCTGCCCCAGCTATTTGGCAGCGCTATGTTGAGGGATTATTTCAGGGGATCGAAGGAATTAAAATTTTTATGGATGATGCTCGAGTGACAGGACCGGATGATCAGTCTCATTTAAAAGCATTGGAAATATTTTTCAAAAAATGCAAGGAGCACGGCCTAAAATTAAACTTAACTAAAAGTAAATTTTTTCAAAATGAGATTAAATTTTTAGGGCATAAAATTGATGCCGATGGATTGCATAAAACGGATGAAAAGATTTCGTCAATTGCTAATTCCCTACGCCGAAAGGCGTCCAAGACATCAAAAGCTTTTTGGGATTAGTGAATTTTTATGCCAAATTTTGCCCTAATTTGGCAACTTTGGCACATCCCTTAAACAATTTAACAAAAAAAGATGTTAAATGGAGTTGGTCAAAAAACTGCCAAATCGCTTTTGAAAAAATAAAAAAGGAAATTTGTTCAGACAGAGTTTTAATGCATTACGATCCGACATTACCGTTAATGCTGGCTACTGATGCATCTCGGGTAGGTCTTGAGGCAGTGCTCTCGCATGTTTTGTCTGATAGAACAGAAAGGCCTATAGCATTTACATCGAGGACACTGACTAACACAGAGCAGAAATACGCCCAAAGTGAAAAAAAAAGCACTGTCAATTGTTTGGGCTGTCAAAAAGTTTTATCTATATCTAAAGGGGAGACGCTTTTCTCTGGTGACAGATCATAAACCTTTAGTGGCTATTTTCAAATCGAAAAGAGGACTTCCTATCCTCACAGCCACCCGACTCTTACATTATGCACTGATATTGCAAGCATATCAGTTTGATCTTGTGTATCGAAATATCAAGGAACACGGTAATGCTGACTGCCTGTCGCGCCTACCTCTTAAGTCTGAAGATTTAAGGATGATGTTGAAATATTCCAACTCTCCCAAATTGAAACTCTTCCGGTAACAGCTAGGGAGATAGCTCAGAAAACGCGAGCTGATGAAGAATTAAATAGTCTTTATATGAAATTAAAATCTGGAGAAAGTTTGGAAGGTAGGGAAGCAGAGTACACCTTACAAGATGACTGTATAATGAGTGGTCAGAGGGTAGTTGTTCCGAAAAAACTCCGAGTTAAAATTCTCGAAGAGTTACACCAAGGACATTTAGGAATCGTTAAAATGAAGGCAATCGCCAGATCCTACGTCTTTTGGAAGGGAATTGATCATGATATTGAAGAAGTTTCTAGGAACTGTGTCGATTGTATTAAGTTCAAATCAGATCCAGTAAGGGCAAGGGTCCATCACTGGGAATATCCAAGTGCGCCTTGGGAACGCATTCACGTAGATTTTGCAGGCCCTATTTTTGAACGAATGTTCTTGATTATCATTGACGCACATTCTAAATGGCTAGAAGTGTATACCTTAAAGTCAGCAAATTCCTTTCAGACAATTGAATGTTTGAGAGAATTGAATGTTTGCTGTTTTGCAAGATACGGACTTGCTTTTAGTAGTAGTGAGTGACAGTAGTCCTCAGTTCACATCGGGGGAATTTGAAACTTTTATAAGGAATAATGGAATTAAACACAAAACGTGTGCTCCATTTAAACTGGCAAGTAACGGGCAAGCAGAGCGGTACGTTTACACCGTTAAACAAGCATTACGTGCAATGCAAGGTTATCCAGGAAATATTAAGCAAAAACTTGCCATATTCCTCATGAATTATAGAAAGGCACCGAACATGACAACCTTGTTAAGTCCAGCAATGTTATTCTTAAAAAGAGAAATTAGAACTCGAATTGATTTAGTTGTTCCAAATCTTAAACGAAGAGTGGAAGAACGCATCCGAAGGAATACTTATGATTTCAAAGACAGAAATTTTGAGATCGGAGAAAAGGTTGCCATTCGGGATTATAGATCGGCAAATTCCCGATGGAAAAATTGGCAGAGTGACAAACAAGGATGGAGCGCTGCATTATACCATTGACGTTCAAGGAACTTTACTGCGCCGGCACGTCGATCAGATCAGATCGGTAGGGAGCGAGGTTCCGTCTGCACCGGTAATCTATGAACCTCGTATGGCTGCTACTTCAGATGGCAACGTGAAGCCACAGGCTCCGGACAAGGACATTCGAACAAAGAAGTGAAGCTGTGCAAACTTCAGCCGGACTTGAAACATCGTCAGTTCCAAGGAAAACTGATCCAGTCCTTCCAGTGGATCCTGATAAAGAGTTGCAGCAACCTCAGCCAGGACTTAGACAATCTTCACACATCTGCAAAGCTCCTCAGAGATCAAATCTCTAAATAAGTGGAGAGGGATGTAGCATCTGATTTCGAGAGTATCAGTACTCTTATACCCAAGAACCTCTGTGAACAAGAGCAGAGTAGAATGTAATGTAACTGTGTAAATAGCGCATCGCTGCTGTCTTATGAGTTAGTTAGAAATAAATGTTTGTGCCGTGAACTAGTCTGTTTTGGTTGCGTCATGCGCTTCACTGAACCCACACCGCTAGACATAACAAGAATTTAAGAGTTTTCTGCAAAGGTAAAATCTTGTTTAACGTGAAGAACAAAGTGGAACATGTGTATGATGCTTTCAACAAAGTCCGAAAAAATCATGAATAAGAGTGAATTTTGGACTTCATATTCCATAGCTTAGATAATTTTATGAAAAGTGATTAGAATTTATCTCATATACATTACAACTGTTGCAGGAGTTAAATAAGTTTCACCACACACATGCCAAAAAAAGGGGAGGGGCTTTCTCCAATGTAAATATAGTCATTCTGTTAACTGAATGCTGTAATATACAGCGATACCTATACAACACTTCATATAATGTTTGGAAAAAACTTTTTGTCTGCATATGAAGCTTTTATAAATATCTCTTATCATACTTTCTTTATGAATACTGAACATATGAATACATATGTTCCATGACAACTGAGTACACTGCATATTTTTTTATGGCTGTAGGTACCGTTGTTTTATCACAATGCGAAAAACATACATACATTTATGCAGATTCTTCATTATTTAATTTCTTTAAATATAATACAGAGCTCTAACATTTGGTGGCAACAATTTGAAAAGTGAACCGACATTTATGGTAAATCAACGCAAAATGCCAAAACGAACTGGGCAATATTGTCTCTTTGGACTAATAATAATAATAACTAGAGAATCCCTGTATACATTAAAAATAAATAAATATAATTCCAAATTTGAATGAAAATATATACATTTGTATGGACCCAATGCGTTGGAGGAAACTTCCCATATTTAATAGCTAATTCTAAAATTCCTCTCTCTTTGGCATCATTTGGTGCAGAGGTCATACTGTAACCTGTAACTTCTGGAATACCAGGAACATAAAAATCTACCCTGTAAAGAAACAAATTAAGTAAAAATGATAAATATGGAATTTACTCTGCCGTTTTTACATATGAAAATTTAAAAAAAGTGTATGTTTAAACAAATAATTGCATCTTTTATGAGATGAGAATTTTTTTTAATTGCTAAAAATAGTATGAACATTTAAGTAAGGCAAGTAAAGTAATTAAGTAAGTAAATCCTGTAATACGTTTCAATAACAGTTGTTTATTTAAACTTATTAGAAGTGCAATAATTTTCTTACCACTGTCCAGCTTTAAAAGAAAACCCTTGTTCTTTAATGTGCAGACGTAAGATCTTTATTGTTGATGATGCATCAAATATATCCTGAACTATAGCACTATAAATCGTCTAAAATTAAAAAAAAAAAAAAAAAAAAAAAAAAAAAAAAAAAAACCTATTTCAAAGAATTAAACTTAACACATAATGAAACAAAGTATACTTGATAAAATAAATGTAAAAATATATAAACCTTTGCTGAAAAGAAGAGTCTGAATGATTTGAAAAGGCACAAAAGATAAAAAGACTGGTTTTTCACATAGCAATAAAAAACTAAAAAGACTGACTGGTTTTTAATAGATTGAGTCTAAATTGACAAACTTACAAACCGCGCCAACCTGGTTGCGATAATATGTAAGTACCATAAAATTATGCAGAATTTTACAACTAATCAACATTTTCAACAAATAAGCTTCTTTCTTCTTCTACACTTACCTATATAAAAACATTCTACATTTAAATGCACTTAATATACTTCTACAATATATATATATATATATATATATATAATAATTTATTATGTATTATTATGTATATAGGTACTATTCGGTTTGAGGGCTGTAAAAAATCCCCACACTATTGTTGATGCCAGTGCTGCCAAAAATAACTGCAGCAACCCTAACACAAGAAAGGAAGTATAATAGTAAATAACTATCTAAAGATTGATGTTTTAATTTAGATGAAAGGTTAATTTCATATAATACTTTTTTATTATTATAATTTATATAAAAAAGGCTAAACATGACTGAATGGAAGCATAAGAGTAAATAACTATTTCAGATCATTATTATAATTTATATAAAAATTGCTAAACATAACTGAATGGATGCCTGCATCGTTGTTTGGCTACCGAGTTATTGCTAAAGCATAATTTCATGTCGTTGGTTGTTCAAACATAATTTTTTATAATGAATGATGCCTTTTCTTTGAAAAAATTCTCGGTAAAGTGCAGAATCACCCATGTATTTGTTTCCGATTTTTACAAGGGTAAAAACAATTGGATTTTTGTCAATTTTCTTTTACTTTTTAAGTGAAAATAGGTGGATCTGTACTTAGTCAAGGGCATGCACAGTGCCATTTTTGTGCAATTCTGGGCTTTTTTTTCAAAGTGAAAATAGGTCGATGTGTAAATGGATACCGAGTATGCGCAATTCTTAAAAATGCATCAAGCAGTGGGGGATTCTGCACTTTACCCAAAATTCTATTGCAGACTTTTCGTCATGGGCAATTCCCAAACTGTTAAATTCATACAATATCAAAAAAGGATTTAAAAATTAAACTAGTATTTCAATGGCATTGTAAGAAATATAGAATTATATAAACTTATGCAATCTGAAATAGCGCGTACGCTAGATTTGGCAAGCTGTTAAATGGACGTGCTTGCTAGATTTGGCGCTTTTGTGTATACATTTTCGCTGCAGTTTTTTTACGGTCCTCAAAATGGAATAGTACCTATATATATAATAAAGCAAACTTAGCAATATTGATAGTGTAGAATGTTGCTAAATACTGAAAAGCAAACTTGGCAGATTAAATATTCATCTTTATTTCAATTAATATTTGTAACCACAATTTACTTAGCACTCTAATCATGCCTATTCAAGAACAATTACATTTTAGATACTGTTGCAATAGGGAGAGAGCAGTGAGGCAGTCTTTTAGTGAGAATAGAGGTAGTAGCAAAAGTGCACAATTATCCAATATGGGAGTTATGTCCAATATGGCAAAAGGAGAGTTTCAGTGTTCCCAATAAGTTATGTCATCAGCCTTATGTGGGTCATATGATACGGAATGAACTAGAAATGACACAGTCAAGAGAAAGGTTTCTGTTCTTGAAATTTTTAGTTGCAATTCTAAATTAGCTATGTCATCAATATTATGAAAGTCATAACTATCTAGAAATGATGCAGTCCAGAAATAGTTATACTACTATTTTTAGAAATAGTTATTACTATTTTTAGAACACAGAAGGGGGCTATTGCTAATTATAATTTTGATTTGCATATTTTTTATCTTATACACAAACATATATATATGTATATGTATAATGACTACAGTCTAGTTTTTTTTCCAAAAAATTATTTAACAATACTCTCAAAAGAGTTAAGTGACTTAAAAAACTGGTCCTACGACATTAAGACAGAAAAATTACTATTTGTAAAGATTAAGGATGGAACTGCCTTTCAACATGTAATGTCATGCAGCACTGCTTCAGATTGGTAAAGAAGACGGCATAATATCAACAAGATGTAAGATCAAGATTGAAAAGGATGATTCAAATGATTAAAAAACTTCTCCATCAAGTTTTGAGCTGATGAGCATTTTATGTGATTGCAAAGCTGTAGTGAATTCTAAACAATTCACCTATATCTCCGGTAATTCAAAAGAGATTATCCCATTGACCCCAGCACTGTTTCTGGGAGAAACAGAGGCTGGAGTACGTGACTTAAATCATAGTGATAAAATTAACCTTAACTAAAAGTTTAGGCATTAGAAAGATTTTAAGGATATTTTAAGAAAGTAATTTAGCAGCGAGCATCTTGGCCAACTGATTTAATGTCTGCAAAAGCCTGATTGTTTCAATGCAAAAGTTGGAGACTTCGGCCTGATTGAAACTGAAGGAAAACAGAGGACATTTTGGCCAATGGCTAAGGTGATTGATGTATATCCAGGTAAATGATGGAAACAAGAGAGTAGTTCCAGTTAAAACAGCTTATGGAAAGATGGTATGACCTTTCAGAAAATTAGTTACTAATCAAAATGTGGGAGGATTGTTATGCAATTACTTCACTTTTAGGTAGCCATAAAGCAAATTTGGCATTAAGTGTAACAAAATAATTTTCTTGATGCATCATCACTGTTTATGTTTAAAATTAATTTTGGTTTAAAAGGATAAGTTTGTAATAAAATTTTAAGAAGAAAGTAGACTACAGTCAAAAGTCGTTAATTCGGACACCCGTAATCCGGAATGATCTATAATCCGGACCTCAAAGCTAAAATCTTTCTGCGCATGCGCCGCATAGACGCATGCGCATAGGCGTTTTACTCATGCGCGCAAGACATTTACGACTGCGCATATGCATCTGTGCAAGTGCAGAATACGTTTTCGCGTGCGCGTTTAATGTATAACGGACGGTATAAGCTAAAATTATCTAATTATCTATTTCAGTTAATGTTGATAATTGCGTTGTTCCTTAATCTTCAAACTGGATCCGGCTTACTATTTTTTGCAGACTGTAAAGAGCAATTTTCTAAAAGTAAGCTTGAACTTTCGATTATGTCAAATAGAATTTCCGATGCTGGAGCTCCCAAAGGATCTAGAAAACGAAAGTATGTTTCGATGTCTATCAAACAAAAAACGAATTGCTACAAAAAATGGATAAAAGCATATCCTTTGTTTATCTAACCGTTCCGAAATCTGTTTATCAATTTCACGCTGCTCGCGCGGGGGGGGGGGGCAACGTCGCGGCGCGCAATGAACTGGAAGTTGATCTGTCAACACTATCGTTATCTTCAGGGCAGATGTTTTTATTTTAGTCGGCTTATAATTCCTTACTAAATGTAGTATTTAATTCGATGTACTCCGTCTTTGATATGATTTAAATCAAATTCCTCATCATTATAAATCATGAATACAAATCACATAGTTTTCTGGTTGCAATTTTCTAATTTCGGCTATTCGTAAGGTATGCTTTACGCATCCGCGCGTTTAAAAGAATGTTAATAAAGTAAACAAATAAATATAGGCTTCTTTTTTGGTAAATTTGGATACCCTTTAGATCATAATTGCCTCATTATTTTATAAATTAGGTTTCATATTTTAATTTTATAATTTCTGCATGCCATCTTACCAGATTTAAACTGATGATCTTTAATCCGGAAAAATCGATAATCCGGAATCGCCGAAGTCCTGACGAGTCCGGATTAAAGACTTTTGACTGTATTAATCTATCCATTCTCAACACTGTGGTAATGTACAGATGTGATGCTAACCCGTTGACGCTGGCCTGACCCACCGGTGGGTCATGCTTGATTGTTCTGAAGGGGGGGTTACACTTGTATATAAAAAATACGCAGTACAAAATTTTATTTTATTTCAATTATTCAACAGTATACATTAACATTTCAACATTATAATCAAACACTCAGTACAAAACAAATAACTTAAAATGTCACTTATAAATTAAATAAAATTATTAATTTTTTCTATGCAATTTTTTAAAGTGGGCTAAACAAAGTGCCGGCTTGCCCTTACAATTGATGCAATATATTGTTACTTTCTTTGCTCTATTTGTGCCATACCGAGTACCTTTTAGGCTTTTTACGCGTTTAGAGCATTCTTTGCATTGCTTTCTCATCTTCCTCACGGACCCTTCATATGAATTTAAAAAATGTTTTTTTCTTTTTTGTTATTACTACTTCACTAGGGGGATTCACAACATCCATCAACAGATAATCAATAATGTTTTCTGTAAATTTTAAAATTTTGATACACTTAGTTCCCAATGTTTTATAAACGTACCACACATTCACTAGAGAAGTTCCGCATATCAGCTTTATAACAATTTTCCTGTACCACTTCACTGTTCTCCGTAAACAATTATAATATGAAGTTAATTGGTCAGATAGTGACTCCCTTTTCAGCATCATTGTATGAAAAATGTCTGGTCTGGCATCAATTTATCATTTTTGTCACGAATAATAACACACTCGTGATTTGATGAAGTGGCCAGCATGCACACTGACCTTTTATCGGTCCACTTTACAAATTTTATCCCGCTCTGATTTCCAAACGACATAATGTCGCCAGGTTTTTGTTCTTACTCTGCCTGTGATGGTAGAACTTTTTTATTCATTTTTACAGTACCACAAAATGTATGCATTTCTCCTCAGAAGTTCCTCGGACAAGGACACACTCGTATAAAAACTATCAGTAAACAATATCCGGCCTTCGAACAAGAAATTCGATATTAATTTCATAACTACATCTTCGAATGTGCTTTTAAAATTCTTGCTTCATCCTTTCTGGAATAGATATGCATACTGTACGTATAACCTTCCGCAAGGCACAG